GATTAGTGTACGATCGTCTGAGAATTTTTAAAATTTGTATATTCGAAATTCAAATTTATTTTTATTTTACTCCTGTTTGGTGGAGATTAAAATCAAATTTTTAGTAAATTTAGGTACAAATTAAATAGTTATGAATTTCATAAAAATATGTTATTAAAATTAATTGTTAACTTTGATTTAGATTAAAATTTAAATTTCGATCGATAACATACGTGATTTAAAAAAAAATAAAAATTGAATCTCAAAAGTTGGGGGGCACCTGCCCCCCAGGACCCCCCTTGGGTCTGCCCATGATTACGTTGTAGAAAACGCGTGACCCTAGTTTAAAAAATAAAAAATTTCGATCTCGACTCGAGCCAGTGTACTAAATTATTTATCTCGCTAAATGCATAAATAGTAATTTTATTTAACATCATTTAGTGCCCAACGAAAATATAAAATAATAATTATTTAAATACATAAAATTTATCAGACATAGTCAGCAACTTTTTAATTGAAAATTTCTATTTTTTGCAATTGATTTTTTTAATGAAGATATGCATCTAAAGTTGATTATTTTTTTTCTCTGTAATCAAACTGAACTCACATGATTCCTACTTTTTTGCAATAAATACACATTTGGTAATTTTTTTTCCATTTTTTGTAGAAGGTAATTATTTATGATTAGAATGCTTTGATTGCTTCATTTGGACAAATAGTCAATATAATATCACTATCAGCTACCTATTTTGTAAAAGGACTTAAATACATTGTAAATGAGTATGTAGAAAAAAGAATTCTAAAAGAATGAGAGACAAATAGGGGCTAAGTTACAATCAATATATTTATCTTTTAAAAAAAAACTCGACTATTTTAAGGAAAAAAATTATTACAGTGTAAAAGGCTTTTCCAATAAAGAATCACTCATAACCCAACACCTAATGCTTAGCAAAAATAAAAAATAAAAATATTTGCCCTCATTATAATAAAGAAATAAAAAAAAAAATTAAATCCCTTTATAAAGATTATATCCTCGGCAACACAATAATCACATGCATCTAATCGATTTTAATTAACATGCAAATTTTGATTTGCTCGAGTTCTCATGTGTAGAACATAAAGAATAAATTTCTTCCAACGCCGTGAACCCATTTACGTACTCCTTGTATCTGTCGAATTCGCCAAATGTTTCAGTTTTGGAGGAGAGCTTTGTAATTTCAGGTAAATGTATTTCTGGGAAATCTTCCAATTCTAGAGGAGTATGAGGGGCTTCACCAAATATTCCTGTGTAATTTGGAATTCCAACATCCTGCACCAAAACATATTATCACGAAACACGTTAATTTCAAGAAACGGAGTAGTATGTAGCCCCACTAACATTGTAACCCCAGTCTACGTGGTTCTAAATGATAAGTTAAATTAATGAAATGTGAAATTAATGTCACATTAACGCTATCTAAATTGGAATTGTAACTCAGTGAGGCTAAATAGCATTATTCATATCTTGAATATCTCTCTTTCTCCATCTGCAAAAGCGCGTGGCTTTGTCAATACTATTTTTTTCAATTTTTTAAAATCATAAATTGCAAAAAAAATAAAGGGGGAAAAAGAGTACATTTTATCCAGTCAAAAGAAGTTATGGGGAATGGCGAAGAAAGCCATTGCAGTCAGTCTAGAGATTTTTATAGGGGACGCTTTAACAAAAGATGTATAGTTCATTGTCTTCGAACTTTTGTCACTTCAAATCAAAAGAGAACCTCAAAGGATCATTTCTATGGACCACATCAAGCCTAGCTATGTGCTAAGTTTGCTTTTACTTGTTTGAAAACAAACATGTTTGTTACGACAAATTATTTGAGGTTTTCTATAGTAAAAAGGCGTTAGTAACGAAATTTCTATCGCTGATTGCAAGATTTTCATCGCACATTGCGAAAATTCTTGATTTACTATAAAGGGAGAAACCCCACTTTTGCTAAATAGGGATACGCTAAAGACATGACCAGAAACAAAAATCACAAAAGTTGCTATACTCGAGAATGTCTATTGTGTGTGCATAAAATAAATTTTCGACATTAAGTCGAGAATAAAAATGTACCTGAATGAAACTTGACAGGTCTGCAGGGCCGATGGAATAAAAATCATTTGAACTGTTTACTTCATCTAATGCAATCTGAGCTTGGGAATAATTATCTTTTGAGCATGTAGCAATTGGTGTCCCTTGAGTGAGATCTGAAGAGGATGCCGAAGATGGTAATTTGGAACAATACTCGGGATTTTTTAGGGCATTTTCGTCGTTGGCTTCTTTCTCACGGGAAGTTTCAGTGCCGCTGGTGTCATCCCACATAAATTGTTCGTCCGTCTCCTTCGAAACCTTGCGTTGTTCCTCGAATTTCGTTTTAGGTATATATATGTTTTTCTTGAAAACCCGGCATAATGCATAAGAATCCTAGAAGATGAAAATTATGTGCAATTATTTTTAAAGTTAACACTTAAAATCCCACCTTAAATAAAGATAAAACAAATAAACGACATATGTCTACAATCCTCAATAATTAAATTAAGAAACGGGAAAATTAAATGTTAAATGTATTTCCTATAATAGATTGACACTAATTAAGGTACGTACTACAAAGAGTGAGAGTTAGTTACTTCACTAATGCTTATTTTCAAATTATTTCTAAGACATGACTATTGATTAATATTTACTTCTAGAATCAAAACCCTAGCTCCAAGAAAACAGGATTTTTCAATTGGTTGGACGTATTATTATTATTAGCCACCGATTTCTGCCATTGCGAAAATCACTCGTCGCTAATGCATGTAATATAGACATAAACTAGCGACGTTATCAACAGAATATTGGCTATGCCTATACAGGGAGCCATAACTCCCATAAGCAAATATTTAGCGCAAATATATAAATGATTTATAAAGAGAAATAGTGGTGGATTCAATAAAATATATGGATAATAACGAGTATTAGTTATGCAACTTGTGTTTGAAATTAATATTTGAGTACTTCAGCTGAATTTATAAATTTGTATCCAAATGCAGGCTATCGTAAGCGATAGTTTCAGGTAAATTCCATGCACCGAGCCACCGACATTGTCATTTTTTTTTAATCTTTAGGAACTATGAGATCACTTCAAGACGTCTTAACCTAATGTAAAACCCGTTAATTTTTGCATATTAATTCGCTTGTGATTGGAAAAACATTTTGTAGGAGAAACTGAAAAGGACTTTACCTTTAAACTTGATGTAGCGCCACAGGCGGACTCACTGAGTCTATACTCGTGCATTACCCAGTCGGTTCTGATGCCATGCGGTGCTCTCCCTCTGTAATAAACCAGTGTCTTCTTCATGCCAACAGCCCGTTTCTGCGACTGCACTGTCCGGTCTTTTCCAGTAGCTTTCCAGTATCCTGCCCGTGTTGCCCGATTCGTCCTCGACCCGTTCGGGTATTTCCTATCCCGGGGGCTGTAAAAGTACCATTCCATGTCTTTACTCGGCAAGAAAGATTTATCTGTCGAAAGAAAATTCCGCTTTTTATTGTACAAAAATTCGACATATCATATGAAATGAAGGTGCAGCAGTATACTGTATAACTTACCCGGTAAATCCCAAGGTTCACATTTGTAGAGATCAACTTCTGGGATGATTTCAAGCTCGATGTTTCCACCATTGATTTTCCTATCCAGATAGTAAGCCACAAGCTCCTCATCCGTTGGATGAAACCTGAATCCTGGAGGTAGAGTCGTTGGTGCCATACAGTAAATACCCTAGAGAGGAAAAGAAAGAAAAGAGGGGAAGAGAGAGAGAGAGAGACTGTGTGCAAAAAATGGAAGAAGAGACTGTTAACGGGGTTGTACGACAATGGGGATCTATTAATAGCCCACTGTTCTTGATCAAACCCACAAAAAGTAGCCCTAATCTTTCTTCATTTTTACACGGTCAGCCATTACTCTAGCTTGTGCTTTTGTGATGAATAAGAAACAATGGAAAGAGCAAGATGGCTAATGTTGAAAAATAGTAAGATAATACAGTGGGCACTGGGCAGTGGGGCTTTAATAGATTCTGTGTCAGCATTGTGTGTGAACATTGAGAGGAAGACGGAGAAGCTTCTCTGCTTTTGTCTGCTCACAAACTAACAAAAATTAGGGGGCCCCGCAAAAAGGCTGCATGTGCCACCCACTGACCCTTCTCTACAACACGCAATACCACGAAGAACATGGCCAACTTTTATTTTATACAGATTACAAAATCATTGTATTGGTATATAATATTGTGTATACATGTACGTATAAGTTGATTATCATGTAGACAGGTATATGTATTGTTCTTAACAACAAAAGATGATTTGGAATCTGTCACGTGGGTCTAATCTTAAAGCAAAAGCACTTGATTATCCATCAAGCGAGTTTACATATTGATTTTTCACACACAATGCCATTTTTTATGCAAAAAACGAACTATTAAGTAGATTTATGTATCGCTTGCTTAATTCATCTGTTTATTGTTTATATATTTTAGCTTCTATTTTAATTAAAAAGAGATCTTCTTTGTTTAAATTACTTTCATAGAATTCGTGTTAGTTTTAGGGGTTGTACGATAAAATTTTGATAAATTTGATGAAATATGTAGTTAAAAAGTCGATATAAGTTGTGTTTTTGTTATTCCTTATTGAAATTCTTAATTAAAGTTGCTAAATCCAATTATTTCATCCTTTCATTCTTGAAATTTTATCTGGTGAGTGAAGAGTTATGTTAGCCATAAGGATAATATCTTATAGAGCTATTTTTAATGCAATTATTTTAATTAAATATATACTTCAGCCACTATCTATGCTATTACAAGTAAGATGTAACAAGGTGACCCTAATTGGAAAAAAACCATAATTATTTTAAAATATTACATCAATTATGTTATTGAAGCCCCAAAAAATAGTAATATCAAAATGCCTAATTTTCTAATTAATGAATAATACACGACGGAATTTATGGCATGATTGGCGATAAATATATTTTATGCATACCATTTCGAATTGCAATTCAATGATGGCTGAATTAAATCGTTTCTTTCTAGAATAAACTGGTCGAATATCTATATCATAAATCGAGTATGAATACATCGTTCATTTCCTACTCGGACGATGAGATAAAGAACTTTAAGTACTTACGAGAAGAAAACACATGTTAAACTTTTATGCTTCAATAAGTTTCATGGTTTTACAAATCATAATACAATAATTTAGTGTTTTAATAATTGCAATGGGCTCCATTATGCGATTCCATCAACTTTATCATATCCCGAAGAAGAAAAAACACTTTCATCAGTCGAAGGGTAGAACAAAACTACCTGACCCTCGTCGTGTTTTGCTTTATAATTTTTAATATGATTCTTTTTCCTTTTAATTTATTTATTTTCGACAACCGACTTTACTTTACTGTTTTTTTTTTAAATTTTTTGGTTGTGTTCAGTGCTCTTTAATCTTTAGTATACTTTCCTTAAAATATCATTTTCTAGTGGGCAAAGATATTACCATATAACCACTTTAATCATTACAAACCCTATCTTTGACTGTTCTCTCTCCCTCTGGACGACTCTTGGTCTGAAGCAAAAAAGAAAACAATGGACTGAGAATTTTTTTTTCCTTTTCAAGTAAATTTTCTTAATCGATGTCACATCCATGTAGAATTCACTGTGCATACTGTTGTATAAAATTATATATACTTGTAATCAAGTCGTGCTATATTATCAATTACTTTAGATGCAAGAACGAATTTTTAGACGTGTGTGACAGATTTATAATACCTTATTACTTATTATTCATTAAAGCTCAAAATTACCAATTATACAAGAAAATAAAGAAGAAGTTATTAGTTATATATATACATATATATATATG